TCCTAGTCAGAAAAAGTTCTGACCATTGAGTGGAAGTGAAAATGCAACGTTCAGAAATTTTTAAAGAAGGGGGAGTGGGTTCCCTCACCCTTTCTGATGATTAGAATGTTACCAGTTACTGGATAGCTAGAATGGATGTGTACTGGGAATGGAAGTCACCCCTAGCAGGTAACCAGATGGGGGGGCTGGGGGGGGGGAAACCCTGTTTATCAGAAGCTCCACACCAGGCCCAGACATCACCCGAGATTTAGTCACTAAAGATTTTGTCTCTTTCTTAGTATAATAATTCTTCAATATTTTAAATTTTAAAATAAAATAAAAATCATAGCTAAAGCACATAAACTCTCTCATCTACTCTCATTACGACACTGGAAGTGGATATTATCATTATTTCTATTTTGGGACTGAAAAACCAGGCTAAGTGAAGCTAGGTGAGAGGTTTGCTCAAGGTCATCCAAGCTTGAAATAACAGACCTAGGATTTTGAGCCAAGTCCTCCAACGTCAAGGAGCCTTGATGGCACAATAGTTAAGAGCTCATCTGCTAAGTGAAAAATCAGGTCAGCAATTAGAACTCACCAGCAAAGCTGTGAGAGGACCTAGTGGCAGCCAGCTTCTACAACAATTACAGTCTTCGAATTACTACAATGTGGTTCTACTTGGCCCTATATGCTATGACTTGAAATTGAGACAAGGGCAATGGAAAATAAGTTTGTTGTTGTTGTTATGTGCCATCGAGTCATAGGCGACTCATAGCAAACCTATGAACAAAAGACCTGGACACTTGTATAACTTTCGTCCTTTCTCCAGGTTCATAGAGTTTCTGGAGGCAAGCTATTTTGGAAGTGGATGCCACTCCTGCTTCCAAGCTTGTTTTAATCGGGAAGCTCCACCAAACACTGTCCAATATACACTGTCCACCATGGGTAACCATTCTCACATTTGACACATCAGTGTCACAGTGTTCAGCTTCACAGCAACCACGAGTGACCTCTGTACAGCCAGTGGACAGGCTATATGACCTAGAAGAATGTTTCACCAAGAACAATTAAAAACAGTTGTTTTTTAATGACAGGATTTTAAGCTATAGCCTGGAGCAGGCTCCACCCTTACTTAGCCTTAGTCTAAGGCTCAGGGCCGCCCACCCACTTTTGAAGGCAAAAAAGAACAGTAACACACAACAGGAAGGACCCCAGAAACTTCCCTCGCCTGGTAAGTTTAGTCTTGTTAAATTGATAGCTCATGTTCATTAACCACTAAACTTCAGGAAACCAGCTAGTCCTCTAACATACAAACATCATCTTAAATGCATGGAAATCTGTCTTTTAAGATAATGATAGATTACAATATAGAGAGGAAAAAGTCTAATAAATGTGAAGAAATAGCCAATTTTGCTTACATGTAATTTATACCTTCATCAAGAACTGCTATCTGAACAGAACAAGGGAACACTGCATAGTTTAAAAATCAAGAAAGGCATGCATCAAGGCTTTTCCTTTTTACACATCTATTCAATCTGTATGCTGAGTAAATCTTAAGGGGTGGACTTTATGAAGAGAAATGTGGCATCAGGATGAGGAATAAACTCTCTTCAATGACCTGTCTTACGCAGATGACACAACATTGCTTGCAGAAAGTGAGAAGGACTTGAAAGGTTTAATACAGAAGATTAAAGACTGCAGCCTTCAATATGGATTTCCTCTCAACATCAACATCTGGAAGACAAAACTCTGCACCAATAGGCCAACAGGTAACATCATGATAGATGGAGCAAGGTCTGAAGTTGTCATTGATTTCACCTTGCTTGAGCCTCAGTCAACATCCTTGGTAAGAACAGTCAAGAGATCAAAAGACGTGATACATTGGGGCAATCGTTGATCAAGGACTTCTCCAAGGTACTCAAGAACAACAATATCAGTTGAAAGCTAAGGTGTATCTGATTCAAGCTATCATCTTTTCAATTACTTGCTATGCATCTGAAAGTTGAATAATGTATAAAGAGGACAGAAGAATCAAGTCTTTGAGCTGTGGTGTTCATGAAGTTTGCTGAATATTCCATGGACTACCAAAAGAACCAACAAATATGCCTTGAAGAAGGTGCAGAGAACTCCTTGGAGGCAAGGATGATGAAGTGTCACCTCACATACTTTGCGTATGTTATGGGGAGGGGCTTAGAAAGATGGAAAGTCAATGAAAGGAAGGAACATCCTCTACAAGGCTGATCTACACAGTGACTGTAACAATGAGCTCAAATATATGAGGTAATGAAAGCTCATAGGATAGGGCAGGGCTCAGATCTGTTGTTCATACGGTTGCTATGAGTCACAGACAACTCAAGGCTGCCTAAAAACAACATATTCTTCCTGATGTTTTATGTGCTTGTTTCTCATAAGATCAAGACAACCGAGGTATAATCTTTTCTGTGTTTATTCTGTGTTTAGAGAAACTTACTTTCCAAGTGCTGCTTTTTTTTTTTTTTGCATGCAGGTGGGTTTTATTCAGCGTTTTCTTTTTTTTCCTTTAAAAATGTATTATATATTTATTTTCTATAGGTTTACAAAGTTTGTGTACATTATGTTTCACGCTATTCTTCATTCACATTTTCATACAATCATTGCCATGCATTATTTTTTCAAGCTTAGTGTTCTTTTCTTTAATACTAGTTTATTTACAAAATTTTAATACATTTTCAAGAACAGATTGTTTCAATCTTCTGTATTATTCCCACTGTACATTTTTGATCATTTTTTAACACTTTTCCATCTTTTCTCAGGATACTGTATGCAATGCAGTTGACAGCTTAGCAGCCTCTGTGGCTTAAGGAACCCTTGTTCACAGCCTCTCCTTTATACAAGGCCAGGACTCATACATGAGCCCACCCACCATATCTGTGAAGACTGGGATGCTCAGTGAATTAAGAGGTTCTTTCTTTTTCAAAGACAAAGAGATCTTTGTATTATTGCTGAAAGGCCACATGAATTACTTGAAAACAAAGGATTTGTCGATTGCAATCTTTTTTTTTTCTGTTTTCAGATTTTTGTGTTTGGCTAGTGAAACTCTACTGCAATTCATCTGTGGGCAAGAAGGGCATGGGAAAGGGTATATCAGTACTTTCCCTTTCTGAGGCAAACCCACAGACAGGGATGGGGATGTATGTCCACTTAGAGAGGTAAGTTCAGAGAAAAGTTGGTACAAGTTAGGCACAGGTTAAGTTCAGAAAACAGTTAGGTACAAGAAGGAACACTAAAAATGCTATCTCTCTCTCTCTCTCTCTCACACACACACACACACACACACACACACACACACACATATACCCCAAGAATGGGTATTTGTCAGGGAGCTCTGGTGGCCTAGTGACAAGAAGCTGCACTGCAATCCCAGAGGTACACAGTTCAAATCCACTAGATGCTTTGCTGGAGAAGGAGGATCAATCTCCTCCTGTATCATCAGATCTAATTTGATGGTACACATGATGGGAAAGTCTACTGTTAGGGACCTCTCTAAAGTACTCAAGAGCAACGGTGCCTCTCTGGAGACTAAGGTGCGCCTGATACAGGCCATGGTCTTTGCAATCACTTGTTATGCATCAGAGAGTTGGACAATGACTAGGGAGGATAGAAGGAGAATTGATGCCTTTGAGCTGTGGTGCTGGAGAAGAATATTGAGAATACCATGGACTGTCAAGAAAACAAATAGATTCATTCTGCAGAGGATTAAACCAAGCAACTCCTTGGAGGCAAGGATTCTGGGGCTTCATCTGACATACTTTGGACATGTTGTAAGGAGAGACAGGTCCTTGGAAAGGGGCATCATGCTTGGGAGGGTGGAGGGACACTGCAGGAGGAAGACCCTCTATGAGGTGGATTGATTCAGTGACTGGGATAATTGAGATGGGTGTGTCAGAGGCAATGCAATTGGCACAGGACAGAGCAGGGTTTAGGGCTGTTGTACATAGGGTCACTATGAGTGACTCGACGGCACATAACAACAACAACGACGTACAAAAAAATAATAAAATTTTTTTAAAAAGAATGAGTGTTTGTGTTTGCTTTTTTCACTCATTCTCTCTCTCTCCCTTCTCTCTGGTGACAAAACTGGAGCTTAGAAAAAGAAAAGTGGAGAAGAGGGGGCGAAGGTAACTATGCTACTGTGGAATGATAAAGGTAATTTAAGAAAACCAGTTGATTCCAACTCATGGTGGTCCATGTGTGTCAGAGTAGAGCTGTGACTCATAGGGTTTTACATGAGTGATTTTTCCGAAGTAGATCACCATGTATTTCTTTTAAGGTACTGCTGGGTGGACTCAAACCACCAACCTTTGGATGAGCAGCCAAGCATGATAACTCTTTGTACCACCCAGAGACTTCTAGTGGTTTAGAAGTTCATTTTTCCTCCCCAGGATATGGAAGTGAGATGTTTCAAAGAAGAGATATGCCCCTTATTAAAAAGACCAGATTATTCTCAGTGGACTTCTGAAAAGTATCAGAAAGATGTGAGAGACATAAGAAAATAAGAAGAAAATTGAAATTCTTTCTGTAAATGAATTGCCAGGAAGAAGTAACCTTTGGAGAAAGAAACAAAAGAGAGAATAAGAAAGCACAGAGCAAAGAGATTAGTAATTAAAAAGGTCTGCAAGCTCTGAAGACACCATCAGTGATGATGGTCTATGAATTCGTAGTACCAGGAACATGATGTTGAGACTCAAAAGGACAATGTGGCAAACACAGAGTGATTTCCCTAATAAATGAAAACTTTCTGCTGACAAGTAAAAAAAAAAAGAAAAAAAAAAGATGATGGCCCCAATTCTGCAATGGAAAAGGTTATAAAGAAACAGTTCACAAAACAGAAAACTCAACTTGCTCTTCTGCATGATACAAAAACACTGTAGTGGCACATGGATAAGGACTTGGTTGTCAAGCAGAAGACTGGTATTTCTAACTTACTGGAGAAAGAGCAGAATGCTTCCAGGTACAACCTTCCAATTACAACCTTGGACAGGCTATTGGACAGTTCTGCCTTGTCCTATAGGGTTGTGGTGTATTGTTATTGACCCTGTGACAAAAGGTTTGGGATTTATTTTTATTAATGATGTTGTATTAGGGTTTAAATCAGAGGCATTTACATTTAAATGGAAGATAATGGAAGTATAGCCTCAAGTCTGTTTAAAGGCCTTAACATGCATTAGGAATCCATTTAGGTGTTTTAAAAACTTGCCTTTCCAAATCTCAGAGCTTTTAAGCTTGGTGTGCTTGGGAAAAATGTCATTCCTCTTCTCTGAGGTCTAGCAAATACAAGACATCATAATCTGTCTCCCATAAAATGTTTCTCCTTATAGTCAAGCAGCTGGAAGACTTGGTAGTTTGTGTCTACAAAGTCTTGGTTTACAGGATTACCTTTACAATGGACCATCAGAAATAGACATGATTAAGGAAGTAATTTTACTAACAGGTTACCAGAAAAACCTGTCATGTCACTGACCTAGACCCACCCAGTAATAAAACAAGCAGCATGCACCTTTCCCCAGTCATGTAATTCTACTGATGTGCTACAGATCTGTCCTTAACAAACTCTCACTTCTAGATTTGCCATCTTTAACTCCCCTCATGGTCTTTCCACAATTATAAATTTTGTAACTTTTTGTTCCTGTCCAATTGTGCAAGAATATCCCCTTTCCTTGGTCCAGAGGAACAGTCACTATGTGACAATGGCTGTCTCTCAGACAGACCATCTTTATCCATCAACAGACTTCATTTTCTTATTTTTACACCAACTTTGTGATGGTGCTTTATCCCACTGCATTCATAATATAATAAGTGAAAGTTAAAACTATAATGAGATACTATATTTTTCCTACCAGATGGGCAAACAAAGTGTGATAACACTTCATGGTGGCAAGAGCGTGTGGATATAACTCTCATAATTGCTGGCAGGAGTACAAGTTGCCATTTATATGAGGAGAGCAGTTTGCTGTTTCCATCAAAATTACAAAGGTGCACGCTCTTCCACCTAAGAGATTCTCTTTAGGAATTTGTCCTCAGCATGTATATTTCCATAAGAAGGAAATTGAAAGGAAAATGTTCTTTGAAACAAACAGCAATGAAAACACAATTTACCAAAACTTCTGGGAAACAGCCAAAGCAGTAATTAGAGGTAAATTTATAGCCATAAGCAAACACGTCAAAAGGCAAGAAAAAAAGGATAACTGACTCTCTAAACCAACATCTCCACCAAATTGAAAAGGAATAGCAAGAAAACCCAAGACATCCTCTAAAAAACTGAAATTAAAATTAAGGCAGAAATAAATGAAATAGCAAACAGAAAGACAATTGAAACCATCAACTTCTTATGTCCAAAGTTTTTATTTGTTTCAATTTTTATCATGACAATCGATTTGAAACACCTTAAATGAGAGGCCGAATTAGAAAAATAATTATCTATCGAAAGAAGGCAATACTAAGTTAGCATTAACTGAGAAAAGCAAGAATTGATTACTTATGCAGAGATCTAAAATGATTTCTGAGTTTCAGTAGTAAATGGAAAAGATTAGATGCCAAAGAGGGTATTATGTAACCATTGATCTAAAAGATGGTAGTTGCTGTTGTGTAGCTTTGAGTCAGAACTGGCTTATAGCTACCCTCCAGAAGATTTTTGGAGGAAGTAACTCACATGGGAACAGACTGCCTATCTTTCTCTCATGGAATAATTGGTAGATTCAAACCACAAAACTTTGTCTTAGCAGCACAATTCCTTACTACTAAGCCATTTGTATTCACATACATAACTCATGAGTTCATATGATCATCTCTGATGATCGACCATGAAACTAACCCAACTGAATGTCCCTGGAGGGAAAATAGATAAATGTCAGAGAGTGGGTTTTTTCTCTACACAGCTTTTTGTACTGTGTGGTCTTAAGCAAGTTATTTTAACTCTCAAAATACAATTTTCTTACTTTAAAATTTCCCCAGCAATTGAATTTCTTGCTTGTAAGGAAGAAGTGAGATAGTGAATATGTAATCACTTCTTAAGTTACCAAGTACTATATAAATGTAAAAAAAAAAAGTGTGTTGGGGGTTCCAACTGCCCATTAAAGTACTGACTAATCCTAGATCCACACAATGAAACACCCCTCATATTCTAGTATTTTGAGACTCTATGCTAAAGCCTTAAAAACTAGAGCTATTATAATCATTCTAAATTATTCATTTGCTAACTCGCACCTAAGAATGATTTTAAACCTTGAGCACAAATAGACTCTCACATCTTGCCACCACACATTCAAAATAGTTGTAACTCAAACAACACTTATCTTCTCCAAAGTCCTCCATCCTACCAGCTGCACTATAAAAGAGTAGGAACTCAAACAATAACATGTTTCGTATACTAGGAAAGCCTGCAGTCTCAAAGAATTCTACAGGGGGAAAAAATTGCTTGCAAGGGAGAAAACTTTTACAAGGATTTTTAGAAAATATTTTTAAAACCGTCGTCTCAATTTTGAGAGCACAGTTGAACAAAAATGCAAATTTCCACATGTCTAATTGCTCAAAGAATAGCGCTGTTGCTGTTTCATGTCTCCAAGGAACTCTGGCAGTTATTATAGTCCAGAGGGAGTCAGTGCCACTAACCCAGAGACCGTGACTCTCTACTGGCTCAAATGTACCAGCTGTTCCACAGGAAGATGTTCAATCCCACATGATTTAACAGCCTCTGAAACCCTGCTGGATGGGCAGCTATGAGCCAGTTCCGACCTCACAGCAATGAGGTGCTGATGCTGTACCTCCAAGTTGACTGCCATTCACAATGGCCTCATAGGACAGAGTAGAACGTCACCATCATGTTTCTTAAGCAAAAATCTTTATAAGAAGAGACTGCCAGGTCTTTTCTCAGAAGGAATGAGTGACTAGTGGTTTCAAATTGTGAATGTTTTGACAGTTGGCTGAGCTTGTAGCCACTGCACTACCAAAGTTCTTTGAATTGCGTGAGAGAAATAACTATATCGTCTGGTACTAGAAAAGAAAGGGCTATTTTCCCTTCCCCAGAATTCCTCAGAAGGTAGAAAGTGTGAGGAGATAGAAGAGCTTATTCTAGACCCAGTTAGGCATTCTCAGCACAAGTGGTTATATTCCAGTGTGAAAATGTAGGAGAGATACATGTGACATCAGAGAC